GCTTACAGTTTAGCATTTTAGCCATGTCATTCAATTCCTCTTTTTCGACATTGACACCAGATATGGAGCTTTTGAAGAAATTCACCTTTAATCCTGAAATAAGCTCAAAGCTCCTGAAAATACATTTAATAGCCCATATGTTCTTTCTTGATGCCTCGTCGAAGAGGATTGTATCATCCACAAATTGTAAGTGGGTATTTTCCAGTTCCCCATGACCTACGGACACCCCTTTGAAAATGCCTTCATCAACCGCCTTTGTTATTAGTCTGTTAAGTGCCTCAGCCACCACTAAGAACAAGAAGGGAGCTAGTGGGTCACCTTGGCAAAGTCCTTTTTCCATTTGAAACTCTTTTGTGGGGCTTCATTAACCAAAACCGAAGTAGAAGCAGAATGAAGGCATCCTTTTATCTAGGAGTGCCATTTTGAGCAGAAGCCTAGCTTTCCCAACATGAAATCCAAGAACTCCCAGTTCACACTGTCATAAGCTTTTTTGAAATCTGCCTTAAAAAGCACGATGGGTTTCCTTCTTCTTTTTGCCTCATGAATCAATTCATTTGTGATTATAATACCATCAGCAATTTGCCTCCCTCTAATAAAAGCATATCGGTTTAGGCTGATAATGGAATCCATGATCCTTCTCATATGGTTGGCAAGGAGTTTAGACACTATTTTGTATATGCAACCAATGAGGGAGATTGGGCTGTAGTCTGTTAGACTGATGGGGTTATCCTTGTTGGGAATAAGGACTATTAAGGATGCGTTACTGCACTCACCAGCTTTTCATTGGAATGGAACTCCTCAATGAGCTTTTCATTAAATCAAACAAGAAATTAATTAAGACTCTATTTAGTATGTTTATAATTTTAATTTTTATAAATTTTAAAATTATTAAAATCTAAAACAAAAAACAAAAAAATTTAAAACTTATTTGAAACAAATTTTAACACCATAAAGTAAAAATATTTAAATTTTTTTAATAATATTAAAAGTACTTTCGTCTTTATTTCTCTAAGAATAGTAATCATATATTACAAAAATACATAAAAATAAAAAGTTCTTTATTAAAAGATGTATATATAATTTATAAAAATTAAAACAAGAAATTTAAAATCGCAACCATATTAAATGGAATTTAAGATTTTATAGTTTTTCTTCCTCCTCTAATTGATGGGAATCAATTACTTTGCTTACTTTTCCATAAAATCCTTGAGCTCCTTGATGAACAAAGCAGACTCTGGCACCTCTGGATATGCATAAAACGTATGAATGGCGTTTGGATACTCAACTAAATACGCTTCTTTTCCACATTTCTTCAATCCCTCGTAGTACCTCTTCTGCCAATCTTTCAATGGATCGAAGCCCCCAACAAATACGACTGTGGCCGGAAACTTCAAACCTGTGATATCCTTGGAATTTGGTCCAAACACGTTTGCCACCGGATGGTCACGGTCCGACCCTTCAGGCAAAAACGCCTTCCATAGCCAGTCCGTTCGCTCAACGGAAACAAAAGGAGCTCCGGCAAGGTTGATTTCAGATTCGGTCCGCTCTTGGCCTCCAAAGAATGGCTGTAT